TATTTTTATAAACATGTTTAATGCCACAAAATAATCTCTAAATTCGTCTTTCACTCATTTTCTTTAAGTAAATGTAATAGAATAGTCATTGTGAATATTTATGATAGGTCAAGCGCATGAATAGTGCTTTAAAATTGACCTATTTAAGAACAATTTATCTTATTAAACCCGAGAGATTGTAAAGAAATGTTTGAAAATTCAACAAATAATTGCACTGATTTTGGTTGTATGTAAACCAAAATTGACTACAATAGCGTATATAGACATGTTCTATTGGTTGATTTCACCAATCAGTGGTTTAGCGTGTCCGAAATGTCGTTTCAATCGCCAGTTAATCGCTACGTTCGCGCTCAACACGAGCATACTCACTGAATACGGAATTTTCTCACATTAGAGCATACGACGAGAGAGAGAGAGAGTAGTTACAGAAAAAAGCCAAGCACAATAAAAAAAACTGTGTGCACGCTCGACAACAACAACAACAACAAAATATTACGGCAAAATCGTAAGGAATAAGAGTTTATTTTGCTCTCATTCAATTAATTATTGGGTAATTCATTGTTCTCGTCCAACTCGCGACTGAATAAAAGTGGGCTTGTGTGCTATATTTGGAGTCTGGATCGCTTAGTTAAAAATACAATTGGAAATTATAATTATATTTTTAAACTATGGGCCAATTTTTTTGTCGATTAAATTTTTATGTCAAAAAAATGTCATGCAAAATTGTAGTTTTCATCGTTGAAAATTAATTCTCTGCTTAATGATTTATATGGAAGCCAATGTTGACTGTGTTGATGTATGTATATTGGAAAAAATTAATGAGGAAATATGCAACATATTTTGTAAATATAATATTTGTGGTGTCATGTTGTAAATCAATGTGTGGGAAATGTTGCTCTTTGCGACATAATGTATTGACATTATTGAGTTTAATTTTTCCGTGATACGAAATGGCGCTGAACTGAGGAAGAAAATTCCTATTATTGGCGAATATAGTGTGTTTGTGTGTGTGTGTGAGAGAGAAAGCGAAAGAGCACAAGAAAAAAAACGAAGGAAGCAATGACTGAGAAAAATTCTTAGCATAAATCTATTTTTAGACTGTCTGAAAAAAATTTCTTTTCGCAATAATAAAGAGAAGAAAAATTCTTTGCGATTTATATGAGTGTCTATGATGTTCAAAAGTATAACATTTCTTCATTAGAGTTTGTTATGTGTATTAATAGAAACAAAACGTTTTCATCTATATATTTTATATGCGCAGATTTCAATTCTCAAACATGAGTGTGCAAAAATAAATTGTTGGCTATTTCACCAAGTTTATAAATGCCCGCCGTTGGTGTAACATTGCCGGAGTCTCTGTGTGAAAGCTTCGAAATAATATTACAAAGATGTTGTGTGTGGCCAAAGAGAGTGAAATTTATATTTGGATTAATATTTCAATTGGAATGCTTTTAACCGTTTGCTCTCCAAGAAGTCAGTGAATTTCTCTTCTTCTTCTCTATATATGTTAAATACACTCTGGATTGTTTGTAATTGATTGATGATTTTTTTCGGGCAAAAATCTTCACATTGTGGAAAGTGTAGCTGCATTTTGCAGTATTTCTTGTCTTTCTCTTTTCTTCAGATCTTAGTGATTATGTTTTAACTTGCTCAAACCACTCATATCGACAATACTTTCTCTTTCAATTGTTGGTTATCTTTGCTTAAACGACGCACACTTTGTCTCTTGAGGAGAGAGACATTAAATAGGGAAAAATTTCCCAAGTAATTTGAGGCTTTCTTGACAAGTTTGCAGAGATTTGAAGAGAAGTGATTATTAAGCAATTAAATACAAATGGCGATAAACAAAATACGCGAGACTGATACAAAATGGTTTACATAATTATTTTTCTCAAGTGTTACTCTTCGTCTGTGATGCGAGACCGTGTGTGAGATTTGTGACTTTATAATACAGTTGTGACAATTTCTGAAATCGAAGTCAGAATGAGACTGTGAAAAAGTATGTAGAAGAAAATGTAAAAACTTGGTTGTATGTTGTAAGACAAGACGAAGTTGGAAATCTCTTTATGCGACCAAAGCAATTATATTTCCAAATCAGCGAACCGAAAAATTGTCAAAAATTTTCCCATTAGAAAAAGAAGTAAATGAAAAAGAGCGAGAGAGAGAGAAGAGAAGAATGACGCTTTGTGATTCCGCTGAATGCTCGATCTGGCGATGAGATATATTTCTCGTGTGCATGCAATGCTAAACGTTTATTAAAAATTTTTATGGTTTGTGTCACTTTCTGCGAAATTGAATCTAGACATTCTTATTGTTATTGTTGTGCAAATTCATCGATTTTGTGTTAAAAGTGTGACCTTGAGAGTATTGTTTAAAGTCTACAAAGTGAATCGATATCGCAGTTTGATGATTAGACGCGATTCCTTCTGTAAACATTGAATATGCTTAAGTTTGGAAAAGGAAGTTGTATCAGTAATTTATATATTTTATCTGTCTACAGATTGATATCTTGGGAGGGAAATGGAATAGAATTGAATGAATATAACTGGTGAAAAATACTGAGAAACACTTGAATTTGCACGTTAACAATTTCTGTGTAAAATGCTTGAATGGAAGTCATCAGCATATTGCTTGTTATTATTAGGTAATTCATCTTGGTTGCAATTGAGTTGAAATTGTAGCTTAAAATAGTTGAAACATGTCAGATTCTTCACTATCGCTATTAACATGTTTTCACACCCAATGAGAGAAGAAGTACATATCTATTTAGAAGACAGATTCCTTTTCCTTCCTTCTTCTCTCGTATGTAATTGTGTGTGTGTGTGTATGATTGGTATATTAAAAATAAATCATTTCTAGGCCATTTCCGTTGAAACCAGTATCATAAGTTCGTCTTTATTATATTGATTCTTATTGAATCGTTTGCGAAATGCGTAATGTGGAATCTCTTATGCTTCAATGCTGCTCACATGAGTACAATTCACATACGCCGCGCAACACTATATAACCAATCATATACTCGGCAATTGGCAATACATTTCTCCAATCTCTGAAAACATCCGCTTATAGTGTTTCGTGTGCGAGTTGTACTTCGACTATTGTGTAGTGTCGAATTGTCAAACTGTCTCAAATTCAATCGAACATTGCGAGGTATTATTATATAAAGTAAATTGCGCAACTCATTGAAACATATCAATAATAGCAATGTTTAGTTTTAGAATTATGCTTTCGTGCGCGCTCCTGTGGGATTTTATAGCTTCACAGTTTCCGTCTCACTCTGACATTGGCTCATTATTGGTGGATGATCACTTACTTTAGACGTGGCAAGGTGTTGGCAGTACTCATATATTAATGTATTTATACACAATACACACATACAATACATGATTTGAGTGAAATAAAACCAGTTTTAGTCTTTGCCGCGTGCATTATTAATTGTCAATGTGTTTTGAGCGGGAAATTTGGCATAAAATCTCAGAAAGGAGGAGGAGAACTGATGAAGAGGCATAATTTCACAGTAAATTGAGTTACTTCCTAGCATCAAATGATAATATTTGATATTTCAATACTAATTTTGTCTCTTCTCCATTTTACAAATGCCACAAAATCATGTTGTATTTCAATGCAACGTGACCTCAATAATGCAATGAGAGTTGATTTTATGCGAAATTGAGAATTTCCACAGATTTTTTACTCGACACTCTGACTACATACATAACTCTATATCCAGTGCAGACATTGGATTCCATTGAATGCAAGAGATACTGTGAGTTCACTGCGGTGTGTGTAGTATTTATTTATAGAATTTCATATGAACAATTGAGGAGAAAGGGAATGAACAACTATGCCATTAATGGTAAATTGTCTTGACATTCAATGAAATGGATGAAGAGAAGAGAAATTAATCAGTGTGCTCAATTTTTTGGCATCACATTTATTTATCCATATTGTGTATTATGAATGAATTCATTGAGTTGTGACTGGTGTTTTGTGCAAAAAAGTGAGATGCGAAAAGGACAAGCGAGGGACGCGATTTGTCCGGCGAAGAAGAAGAAAGAGAAGGCAAGTGTGTGAAGTGAGAGGTGTGTGGAAGTCTTTTGGAATTGAAATCATGACGTTGAATTTCTTAGTGTCAAAAGCAATCAATTGACGTCTCTCTCGCTCTCTCTCGCTCTCTCTCTGTCTCTCTCTCTTTCTCAATTTGGTAGAAATCTTTATGTTACTTTCACTATAATCGCAAAGTCGATGAGATAATGTCGGAGTATTATGACGATGTGTGTTGCTTTATTCTTCACTATTACTTCTCAAAACATCGCAGCGAATCGCGCACTGTTGTATTTTTTTTTCTTTAGCGTCATGTGAATTTTAAGGGGCGCCTCAAGTCTCATTGTGTATTGAATGAAGTGAGCTGTAATTGCAGTGAGTGTGAATGTTGAAATTCTTTAATACCGCAACTGTCTTATAGCCAGTAATTGGCATGTCTCATCGAATTTTCTCTTTGCTTTCCAGTCACTTTGACTCATTGTGGGGCGATTTTGTTCATCTAGTCGATAAAGTGCAGAGTAGAAAAAAAATTTATATGTAATGCTGATTTCCCCGCGTGACGCCTCAATTGACCTTGAATTCAATTGGACTTAATTATCAACGTAACACGTTTTAATCTTTAAACAGTGAAAACATCATACACACAGACATATTTATTGGAGAAAAATATATTTCATGCTGCCTTGCGATGTTTCTTTTTTTCCCCATTGTTTTGTGTCTAAATTTAACATATTTTGCCGAAAAAAAAATATTGTAGGAGATATTTTTTTTCCACAGTGAAATTTAAATTAATTACAGTGACATTCTCTGGGCAAATGATTAATGAGAAATTAATTTTATTATCTACAAAATGCTATTATAAACTCTTGATGATTATAAACGTTTTATACTTCTCCTATTTCACATATACACACTTTCTTATTGTTTTTTTCTTTCTATTTTTCCTATCTTTGCAGAAGAGAGATACCAAGGAGCGAAATGATATTGCTGTTGCTAAAGGTGAGTTTCATTTGCCAAAATGAATGATATTTTCTCTTTTTTTTCTTCTTCGTCTCTTCAACCGCATATATCAATTGGATTCCCGAGTTTCTTTTGTATGGCAAAAGCCCATAAAGCAGTACAATTATTACAGTGTCGCATAAGCAAAAACGAGTCTTTCAGTTCAATTCATGTTGACATTTAATGCTCAAGTTGATCTCGATTTTGCAATAGAAGTGAAAGGCATTTGTAATAATTCACTAATAATCACTGTGAATTTACTTTTAACAGAGATCAATATTTGGCGGTCGAGTGCTTGTCTATTCTCATTTATTTACAAGTCCCGATAATGGCAAAATCTCTTTTAACGCATGATCCACTTCAACATGATGACGATGACGAATGTTGTGTTTATCTACATGCATTATACATTTGAATACTTAAATACATATATGGAAAATTTCCCATTGCATATTTGCTGATAGAGAGAGAGAATTTCAAGTCAATAAATGGTAATTTATATTATGCACATATCTATATATGATACAATTTATTGAGCATATTGGGAGTGGGGAGGGGAAAAGTGTCTATGGGAAAATTTTCATTTAACGAATATGACACGAGATTGGTAACTGTTGTGTATATAAGTAATTATTGATATGTCGCTGAGCTTCTGCATGCAATCTATACAGGCGCTTATGTTTAGGTGAAAATCAATACATGACGCTGCATCATGGCACGATTGAATTATGTTTTCCATTTTGAGCCTTACTTGTGGAATTTGTATTGCACAATTGCAATAATAATAATAATTATTATTATTATCACAATCGTGTGCGCCATATCGATAGGGGTTGATATTGAAATGGAGTGTCAGCGGTTGAATTGTAGTAAATAATGAGTGACGATAGAGAAGCATTGGAAGCTTGAGATGAACATTCATTCATTTGGTTAATTTACCATTTTCTCAGAACGGCAAAATCCCATTTCCTTGTTGAGTGTGTGAATAGAACAGTGCAGACAGGGCTAAAGGTAGAAAGATAAATTCTCATTCACACATTTACGCGTGCATTTTATTGATGACTTTTGTGTCTCACTCTCTCTGTGTATGAAATGCAAAATCGCAAATAGTGAACTGACAATTGTGAATATTGTAATTTCTCTGAGTGTGTATGAGCATCACAAAATGCAGTTTAATTACACAGCAGTAACAGTATTCAATTTATTGCGTGCTTATTCTTGTGCATTCCAATGTTTTATGTCAGGAACGGAAACAGTATTTTCTATCTCTCTTTTCAATGATTATGTGAGAATAAAAATTTTTCTATTCTGACACATTCTAAAATATAGTGATTGTATTTTATATCATACATTTTTTTCTCTGTCTGAATAAGCAATTCTTCAATCTCCATGTTGGCTTTTTTGTTGTCTGCAAACAACTCACAATTCCACAGAGAAATACTTGCATTCATTACTATAAGTTTGATGATAGTGTGTGGTAATCAATGACAGTGCTAAAAAATATGCTAATAATGCCTTGATTTAGTTTTATTCCTATTAGATTGGAGAAAATGTGTATCTTGTCAAACGTGAAATGCATTTTGTATAACTATAATCCCTCACAAATAATACGCCAAGTAAATTCGTGAACAATGGAAAATGTAGTATATACGAATGAAAACAATTATTTCTCCCCAAACTCAAATGCTATTTGTGCACCCCATTCATTTACTCTAACCCGGCAAAATGTTCGAACTATACATCCAATCTCTCGTGCTCCTCTCAACCCCACGCCGCCAACTGTTCCTGGGGTGGAGTTCGATGGGGTCAAGCGCAAAGGACGGAGCGCGCGCAAAATTGTATAATGTACAAATGAGAGTGAAAGAGGGATGTTTCCGTGTGGAATGACACAGAGGCATCTCTGAGGGTTGCGGAGGGTGGAGTGGCGCGCTTGGTAGATTGGGTAGCATTTGTTTTTGTGTATAAATACATGTTAATTGATATGGTCGATATAATTTTTGGATATGTGTCTCTTGCTGCTGCTGCTGAGTTGGGTGTAAAATTAAATACAATTGAAATCCTCGCTTCCATTGGCAGTGGAAAATGAAATTTTCATTGTGGTTGAAAATGGAATTGTAGTTTCTCGTGCAATGAGATGATGAATGTGTGTTGGAGATTCAAGGGAGGGAGTGTGGATTTCAGGGAGATTGTGAATATATTTGGGTAAAACTTGTTTCATAATTCGATATACAGACAAGGGCTTTATTGGTGTTTTCTGGAGTGAAGCCGACGACCATGTTATATTGAAAAGTGAACAAATATTGATATAAATTTATCTACCATTGCAAATGTTCGTGAAAAGACGTATTTTACATTTTCTCATATTATTATTATTATTATTATTATTATTATTATTGCTTATAAATGTAAACAAATCCGGGAGATGATATGACGATGCGGTGAAATTTTGTGCTATGTTTTTCATGTATTTATAGAGGTTTGGTGCGCTTTGTTTCCGGATACAGCATGAAAGTGCTAAAGGGAGAGGGATATATGGATGTGGGATGAAAGAGGTAGAGATATTCTATGGATTTATGACGATTGTGCGCCGTAAATTTTCGTGAAAATGATAGAAAATATAATACTGTACATTTTGGGTTGATTTCATACATAATATGTATAATACATGTAATATTGTGTGCAAAAGTTTTTCTCTTTTTCACCCTCACGCTGCGCGCGATTTGTGATAAAGAATAAGTGTTGTATCATGTGCAGAGAGAAAAAAAGGGTTGAATTAGCAGCAGAGGGTGTGAGTGTAAGAGGGATGAATATTTTTGCCGAATGCCGATGAAATTATGAAAGAGGGTTGTAAGACATTCGTTTTTTTTTTTCCTCACACTGTGAGACTTTTATGCTTGCATCCCAATGTACACAATAATAAGTAATATAAAGTTAAGTGCAAAAGTTTTCCGACTTGCGGAGTGGTGTTTAGAAATTATTCCTCCCCTTTGCGCGCCGTTGCCTCGTGTGCACACAGACATTTTGTAGATGTATATGTATATATGACGGTGAAACAATAATTTATGGTAATTACTCTTTGAGAAAAAGTTTATGCAAGCACTTTTGCTGACTTTTTCGCGGCAGTGTCAAGGGTGAGAGTGAGAGAGTGGGAGAACGTGTGGTGAGATGCGCAAAGTTGTGAGTGGGTGTGGAAAATCTGAGAAATAGTTTCAAAAGCGAAGCCATAACTTGGTATTCGTTACGTACGTTATATGCAATTGCAAGCGTGTATGTCATTTCCTGCGGGTAGTTGAATAATAGTAGTTTGTACGAGATAAAATGGATGAAATTATTCTTTAATTACACTCTTAAGTAAACTTTTTATCATTTCGTCCCAAAATATATCAAAGAATAATGAACTTTTCACGAGTATCAAGAGTCAGAGAGAGAAAGGAAACTTTGAGTTCTCAAAGTGTGTGTGTTCAGGAAACATATAGAAAGCATATAATTATAGGTCATGGTCCTTGATAAGGATGCACATATTGAAATCATGATTACACAATACACAAGTCTATCATAAGTCTACGGGATTAATAGATTTGCATAGAATGTCGTCTGAAAGCATGCATAGATATTTGAGAGAGGGTGAAGTGAATCCTCACGTAAGCAAATTACCAGCAGTTGGGAAAGTCACCAAAATAATTATTCAATAAATATCTAAATGTGATTTACATTTGTACATTATTTGTGCTGTCTGGGGTTCCAGAACATGGGTATGTGGATTTGAAACATACACATTTCTGTGGAGCCGAACATGCGACATCATATGAGAGAGAATTACACATGGTGAAGAGCGAAGTGAAATCACATTGAGAGAGGGGCAGATGCAAGGTATATACATATATACAGGCTTATGGATATGCATACTTGTACATATATTACAGGGGTGTAAATATGTAGGTATGTATGTACGTATTAATGTACGAGGATCTTGTTTATGCGGATTGAGAGGGGATTAGACGAAGACCAGAAGGAGCTGCACGGGACAGATAGGGAAGGGTGGAAAGTGATGTTAAATGTGTAAGATGAGAGATGGCTTAGCTACTAGAGAATGGGATGCCAAAGCTCTGTGAGCGGCAGAGACAGTAATCATGATTACCACAAAACTCAATGTGTGCTGTGTATATGTAGAAATTTATATTGAGAAATTCCACAAATTAAATTTGAAATCTCTGATTTTCTATGTCAAATTAGATAGGAAAGTGCTTTTCTTAAAGTGTGCAACTTGCACTGAAAATTGAATTGTGGGGAAATTGGAAAATTGCGGCTATTTTCTTCTGTCGACACGTGGTAATAATATTGCTTAATGATGATGCGACAAGAGAGAGAGAGAGAGACTTATTGAGTGAATGTGTGTATACAATGTAATGAGGGTGGACTATCTGTCGGGCGTTTTGAGTGCCTATTTTATATCTACAAGAAAAGTTATAAAAAAAAAACTTTTTTGTTGAAAGAACATTAGAGACACTGCGGCATTGTCTTCTTTTCTTATATGGAAGAAAAGAGTTGTTATGGAAGAAAGTTGAGTCGTTACATTTTTTTTTCTTTTACATGATTGTGTAATTTGTAATATTTATTATTTCATCTCAACGACATTATTCTTCATTCTTTTTCTTCACCAGCAATTAACATTGCAATTATCACATTTACGAGACAAAATTTGTGACTTTTAATAATTTGTTTAAAAAACTTTTGTATTGTGAAGAACACACGAAAGTTTTTTTTCTGATTGTTCAGAAGTTGGTTTATATCAAAATATTCTGTCGTTATTCATCGCTTTTCTCTCAATTAGTGACTCCTAAGCAATGATTTTTCCAGAGTTTTTAATCTTCTCCTGGAATATGAGGAACTTTTACTGAATTTAATGATTTTATTTAAATTCTAAAGAGCTTTTGTTGTGTTTTTTTTCGCATTTCAATGAATTCTATGAAATATTACTCGAGTGAATATGAAACATGAAA